CTTGCGGCAGACACGCGGCGCATCTGTCTCTGCCGTCGTCAGAGAGCGGCGGAGGACCGACGCAAGGAGTGCGACCTCGGGATCGACCGGCGCGTTAATGGAGCCGGGACATCGATTCCCCCCTCTCCCTCACCCGTTGCCACTCACGCTGGGCTGCACGTGCCTCGGATTTGGGCATCCTCGTGCGCACCGGCCCTGGCGCGGGCAGGAGGACCCAGCGGTGGCCGGGTACCACTTCTTGACAAGAGGGTGGTGGAGGTGGGCCACGTACCTGGCGGAGCCGAGCTGCCGAAGCTGCGCGGCGTTGAGGAAGAACATCCGCCGCTACCGGGGCCGCCTTGCTCGAGCAGTGACCTCCTCAATGCGATGCGGAGGGCCACCTACTCCACGTCGATGTTCGAGCCGTCGGATTCTGAATAGGAGCCACGGCTGCTTCCGTCGCCGGTTATCGGATCGGAGGGGAGGGGATCGGAAGTGGAGTGGACAAAGAGGAGAGTGAAATGGAGTTCATATTGACTGGTGTCTAAGGTTCTCCGGATGAGGATATTTGTGGGGTCGGGTGGGCCAGGATGACGTGCTGGACGCGTCCGGACCGCCTCATATCCGTCACATATTTGGGCTAGATATGAAGGGTGTCGGTCAACCCGGACGTTTGATGCCCGTTTGAGATCAGATTTTCGTGAGCGGTTAGTGACCGGGTGGGCAGCCCCTACGTTTGAGGCGCTCGGGCATAGATGCTCTAAGAGGCGCGCATGGCTAGCCAACATACCAAGATAAAATTTGATGTTCTGCATGGATATTAAACCTATATATCTTTTGGCTAAATAACATAAACTAAACAATTTAATTCGGGAAAAAATGATACAGCCGTAGGATAGTTGAACCAGCGACCTAAGAGATACCGGCAAGACGACATACCAATACAAACAATGGAACTTTGATGGCTAGAGAGGATCTCAATCCTTATGTCTACAACACAATGCCTGCTGGGCTAAAACAGACTACAGTTAGTGCGCCTCATTTAAAACATGTTATTTTTCCTTTTTCTTTTCTCAAATTAAAAAACTAAATTATAATTGTATATATGTATTGATTTGAGAATCTGCAGTCTGAGGGTACACTAGGCTCATATTGTTTTCCAGACATATATCTATATTTATTTAAAAAACATATTTTTTTTCGAAAACACACAAATTTACTGAAATGCATAAACACTTTTGAAACAACATAAAAGAAATTAAAGCATGATCAGTTTTATATAAAACATGAAATTTTATTAAGAACATGTTTTTCTAAAATTCTATGATAATTTGTTTAAATATTTGTATTTTCAAAAATGACAATAATACTTTATTTAATATGCAAACACTTTTAATTGTTTACAAATAATTCATAATTTAATTTGATTATTTTCTAAAAAAATTGATAGGTGGTCACTTTTGTCTAGTTTCTTTTATTTATTACTCCGTTCATTCAATAATAAGCGTCGCAGCTTTGAACTAAGTTTGAATAAATCTTAATTCGAAACCGTGACACTTATTTCGGATCGGAGTGAGTAGAATTTACATATTATTCTTTTACAAATTTCGGAAAATGAAAAAAAAAACTGACATAAATTGCAGCCCACATGTTCTAATATAGACATATAAATTGTAAAGACATGAGACCCCACGGTCGTAAACTTTTTTCTAGATTAAATTTCTTAATTTACGTTTCTTAGCTCTTCTTTTTAGTCTACTTACATTACTTCGCTAAAAGATATAAATTTGCGTATGCTTAAATGTCTTGAAGTTAGTTTTGTTCTGCTGGCTAGCTGCGCATGTTGTTTAAACCTTGCTCCTTGGTTTGAATCCCACGCTGTGCTATTTCTAATTTTATTATAATTTTTGTGATTTTTCCTTGACAGATGGGACCCATCCGATGCCACACATATAAATTACTGTACACCTGAGAGCAAAAATAAAAAAGCCAAGGTTTTTTTGGCAAAAAGAGTGCGCCACTCGTCCCCCTTCACCATGCAGTCACCGACGATGGGCCCTAAGCCACGCTGGCTTGCCTTGTCACCAGTCCCGGCGTCTACAAACGTGATTAGCATCATATTTGCACGCCCAAGCCAAGTTTTTGCACAACTTCGATGTAGGCCACAAGTCTTACAAGTAAAGTGACGGTTTGCGCCTAGTTCTAGCACCACCGATGTAATTGACTCACAAAAAAACCCTATTGACTACAGATCATCACTACACTCTCATGACGGATTGCCATCCACCCGCGACAAAGACCACATAGCTCCGACTTCGATGGAGAAACTACGAAGGAGAACTAGGCAAGTCGGAGCCATGGAAGATCACCGAACGGGCGTACGACACCAGGCCCCTCCACTGCAGTTCCGACTTCACAACAACAAACAGCCGAGGCCATTTGACGGGCACGCCGGAGAAAAGCCGACTCCCCAACCAATGCCACGTCTCCGATATCGTTTGCACCCCGTCATCGTTGCCACAGGAACCTAACCGCATGCCTTAAATCGGATGGCTAGAAGAATTAACTTGGTGCCGATGTGGCATAGTGGTGATGTGGATAGGCTCTATGTCAAGATAAAATAGGGTAGTAGAGAGGAGGCTTTTGTTCCGCCTTTGGGTTAATGAATTCATTAAACTGCTTGATTAGTGCCTTTGAGTTAATGAATTCATGCATTAAACTGCTTGATTAGTGTCTTTGGGTTAATGAATTCATTAAACTGCTTGATTAGTGTCTTTTGTCCTTTTCAAGAAAAGTGTTTTGTCTGAGCCTGAGAGGCACTCAGTTACAACAGCGAAAAGGCTTGCCCTGCTCAGCCTCCATTAACGGCCGGGTGTTGGTGGATCGATGCCGTCACCGGCTAACCTCCTGCTCCTAAAAGGCAATGAAACAAGACTGCAGGTGCATGCTTCCCTTTCCATCAACTGCTCTGCTCATCGGTGCGGTTGGTTAGGCCTTAGGCGCGTGTGACTGTATTTCCACAGCAAAAAACCATTGCTGTAGGCTGTAGCTGCCGTGACAGCAGCACCGACGAGCAGGAGCAGCCCCGTGCCGAGCTGAAGAAACCATCAACACACGCTGCCTCTCCAATCCTGTGCTACAAGGAGACCTTGCTCCAGTCCAGTCCAATCATCAGCGACAGACAGAACCTGCATCAACATTGCCGTGCTAATAACTACGCCTTCACACCTTTAATCTCCAACGACAAGGACCACGCCTGATACAGTCGGTCAGTATGCATACTTCTTCCTTCCAAACGAAACAACGACGTCCAGGCAGCGCGCATGTGGATTCGGAGGTGGAGTAGGAATGAAGCGTGGCCACGGATGCTCCATAAGAGGAAAGCGAGCCGACATGGGTCGGCGTCAGCGATGAACAGTCACAGTTCGTTCGGCAAGTACAGCACAGTTGATCTGGTTAGTTGGATGTTGGCGCACGGTGAAGCATTAGAATTACCTGGGCCTGGTCGATGATCCCAAAATGCAGACAGCCCTTGCACAAGTGTTGCCGTGCAGCGGCAAGAGGGATCTGCACTTACAGCCGATACGGGAAGAAGTTGCAGAGGAAGAGTAGAAGATGATGCGAGTACGGGTACAGTTTTGCCGACCTCTGGGAGAAGCTCTCCACTGCCAACCTTGCGCATGACATCAATGACACTGTCGAATGTCCATTTCTGATAACTACTGCTCCCTCCGTCCGAAAATACTTGTCATCAAAATGGACAAAAAGAGATGTATCTAAAACTAAAATACGTCTAAATACGTTTCCTTTTATTCATTTTGATGACATGTATCTCAAACTAAGTACACCTTTACACCACAGGATCTGAAATGACAAGGACCGCGGCTGATAAAGCCTAAGCAGGAGCTTTCTTCCTTCCAAACAACGACGTCCCACGCACAAAACACACATGAATTCAGAAAGTAGTCGGCGCAACCCAGGAGCAGGCTCTCCAGAAAGAGGGCAGGGTCATTCAGCAAGTACAGTCAGGTTAGTTGGAAGTTGGGACACCATCACAATTCACACATTTTGACTCAAGCGTTGGAATTTCGTGAGCTTGGCGACCTTTAGGGCTCGAGCAAAAGCTCGTCGCTCAAGCTTAATGAACACTCGGTATCTAGGCTTGTTAAGCTCGTAGTTCGTTTCCTAATGAACAGAGCCAAGCATAAATTTCAGCTCATTAACGAGTTTAGTGAGCAAGCTAACGAGTTTCACGAGCAGCTCGTTAATACAACACAACACATATTTTTATGTAAGTGGCAACATTTCTTGGCACCTCGACCCATCTACTCCATCTAACCTAGCCCAAAGAAGACAATAACTACTAGCATACCCCCTCATGTGGTCACTTTCTTTCTTTATAAAAGACACATCAGAACTAAAGCAACAGCTGGTAACTTCTTTTAACACATATTGCTAACACTCACTTTCTTTCCAGGTTGTTCTTGAACTCATTATGCTTGGGCTGTGCTCCGTGGCCTTCATCCTTCGCAGCGTCCTCTGAACAGGTGCTTTCCCATGGTTTGGCATAGAAATGTGCAGGCCTTCATGGAAGCTGAACTCTTAGAAGTGTACAACATCACAGGTCAACAAGAACGCCAGGGAGGTGGCAAAATTCATAGCCAAACGACACAAAAAAGGGAAAGAATCAAAACATGCACTTCATACTTGAAACAAGGCGTTTCACAGGTACAGGAAAAAGATATGAATGTATCTTTCATGTAATTTAAGATGATATATGTGAGTATGTTAGCAATATGCAAAAAACAATGTTTAGTAATGGCAAGATTGGAGCCAAACGCTCACTTTGGATACAGAACTGTTTGTACATGTTATCAGTCACAGCATCATCATTACATTACATCCAGGTTTCACTTTCTTACACTTCATCAGAAAATAAATTCTGAACACAGGTTACAAGCAAAGAAACCAGGGGGGAAACAGCACCCCCAGTTGAGTGGACGACTCCAATCGCCAGAACATTAGTCTGGCAAGGCGGTCCCTCTTTCCAAGTTGTTCTTGATCTCGAGCGTGTATTTGCCAAAGGCCCTCTCGATCTTCTTGTTGAAGTGCTCATTCCGGTCGTTGATCGAGTCAACGTCCTTGTCTTCGTTGAACTTGCGCCTCCTGCTGAACGCCTTCCGCTTCTCGTCCCGCTCCTTGAGCTCATTGACCATTCTGTCGATGTTTGGTTCCGCCACCCTAGACACCTGTGCAGTGCAGAAGGTAAGGCATCAATAACAGCCAAGGACTTTGGGGCCCTTACTAGAAGGACAATAGATACAAGATTACATAGAAGTTGGTGCGACGGCAGTACCTTCCCATATTGAAGACTTGAAGCCTCACGGTAGAATTCAGGATCGGTTTCTTTCGCTCTATTGTATGCATCCATGTCGACTTCTATGTTTTTGGTCCTCTTCTTGTATGCATCATACAAGGTTTTCTGGTTGAAAACTGCAAGCAGAAACACCTTATTCATATACATACAAGAGATTCTAAATAAAAAGAAGTTACATGCCTTGTATTTAATTGTCTATACAGCTTCATAGAAGATACTATCAAATAAAAATGTTACATTTCTTTTATACAATTATTGAAAATGGTAAGTTAGAAGTAACGGTCTAGACAGCTTCTGAATTAATTTAGTAGAACATACTAATCTCAACTTTATCAAGAATCATACAACTCAGCACTCACAGTACCTGTTAGTTCCAAAAAACAAAAATTAAATTTATGCCTTCACTGATTAAATGCGGGATAAACTAAAACAACCATTGGTTAAAGTGTAATAGTAAAGTTCCTTAAGTTTTCCATTCTCTAACTTAGATGGAACAAAGGTTCAAAGGTCAGCGAAACACAGCTGGGAGGTCATCCAAAAGTTTATCCAAGTAAAAAACATTATATACTGCAACATAAATGCAGAAGAGAATAGAACTGCGACGGACATTGGATAAGTTTGCAATCATGTAGTATCAGATAATGTTTCTTGATTTTTCCCATTAGCAAGCTTAGAAAGAACAAAGCCTCAAAGATTAGTAACAAACAGCTGGGTGATTATCAAAATGAAACATACCAAGTCAAAATTGTGTTCAAATATGCACAACGAGTTGATCATAAGATAGGTCAATAGCAACACAGGAGTTTAAAGAGTATAGATTTGGAGATATATTTACTGAAGCTGTGAGCCATCACTACACACTGATAAAATAAAATAAATGAAGCTAGGAGATGAGCTCACCATCCCAGCCATGTGGTGCAGGTTCCTTCTCCCACTTCTTGTATTTTGCTTCTGCCATATCCTGTGTATCCAGCATGTAAGACTTTGACATATCCAGGCCATTCGAATCAAGCAGCTTCCCAATCTTCTTTTTCCTGTCTTCCAACCACTTCTCCTTAGATACGCCTCTGCTCTCGCCACGAGGCTCCATCCTCTTCTTCTCCGCAACCATCGCCTGCTGATTCGCCTTCCTAGCTTCGTTCTGGCAGCACACGGAACAAGAAGGAGATAAACATCCTAGACCGCGGATGCACCAGCTGAATTAGTTAACTGAAGGGCGCAGATGTTCATCATACCATCTTAAGCTGCAGCTCAAACAACTTCTTCTGCTTTTCTGTCATCTGCGGGTAACCTTCATCCGCGGCGGCAGCGTCCTCCTGCCGCCCAGAATCGTCATCACCATCAGCCTGCTCTGGAGCGACTCCTGATTTGCCAGAACCTCCAGCAGGCTTCTCTGACTCCCCGCGCTCCGCGGCTAACAAGAAGTCAATCAAATAGACTGTAAGTACACAGACGGCTCTGGTTGAGTTCGAAAATACAAACTGAAAGGCAAGACCATACCTGCGTTGGCGTCGGCAATCTTCTTAAAGCAGTACTCGGAGCAGCCATGATAGGGGTTGGAGGCGTTGATGCAGTCAGGGTGCACGGTGCGGTCCTCCGGGGGGCCCTTCCACGAGTCGGGGAGCTCTTCGAGGAGGCGGCGCTTGGCCTCGGCGATCTTGTTGAGGCAGTAGTCGTTGCACTCGTGGGCCGGGTTCGACGAGTTGACGCACTCCGGCTCCGACTTCCCCATCGAGCTCGCGCGTCTGCGGATTTTCGATGGAACCCTAGATTAGGTCGGCACGAATTTCACGAAACGAGCTAGCAGCTCGAGTCCATCAGAGGTTGATTTCGAGCCCGTACCTTGGGATTCGAGGCGGCGGATCTGCTGCGGGTCGACGGGGGCTGCGCCTGGTGGATACGGAGGCGGAGAGTCGGATTACGGGAGGGAGGGAGGAGTAGTGGCGGCAGCACCGGCGTCGGTCGGGAATCCGGCGGGGCTTGCCGACGATCGAATCCGGCGGGCGGCGACGGGGATCGTGACGAACCCTAGAGGTTCGCCTGGTGAAGCGAGACGGTAGTAATGGCTGGCTGGTGGTGGACGATTTGGGCCGTCGCCCGCGTGGCAACCGGGGAGAAGAAACACCGACAACGAGTGGGCTGCACTGTGCCACGGGCTGGGCCGGGAGAATCACGCTTCGTGCAGTTTTGGAACAGGTTGATTTTTTTTTGTTCATTGCCCTAAAAAAAGATAATTTTTGTTCACTTATATACTCAAATTCACTTAAAAAAACTTATATACTAAAAAAAGGAGAGCCAGCTATGGTCGGAAGTTTCAAAATCAATGTGGATGCATCAGTATTGCACAAGCAAAAGGGCCCGTGCGTTGCAACGGGAGAAAAAAGTTTTTGAAATCTAGGGGAGTTTAAAATCTCATTGTTAGTTTATTTAAATTATAAAATGAAGTCTTATTTTTAAAATCTCGTTGTTAGTTTATTCATTTTTTCGTAGGAGTATTTAAAATCTCATTGTTTTAATTTTATAAAATGAAGTCTTATTTTTAAAATCTAGCAGTATTTAGAATCTCATTATTAGTTTATTTAATTTTATAAAATGAAGTCTTATTTATTTACATGATCTTCCTTGGTCACTATACTCGAAATATGAATATGTTTGTGGCAAAAATAAAACTAAAACTCAAATATCTACTTTTTTTCATGTAGAGCATATATGTATAGAATTTTTGCAACTAATTTTATTTTTTGGAAAGATGTTTTGATTGTTTGCACTATTTTCCAGTAAGAGAAAAAACCTTCAAAAGTGTAGTTAATTTTCTCATCCGCATGAGGCAGTTTTGTGAGCGTCCGCGAGTTTTATATTGTTCTTGTCTGTGTTCAGCTCGGCTCGCATCGCCATCAGCATATGTTCATGTTCATGCGCACACTCATAGCCGTCGGCAATTGCTGACGCAGATGGTGGCATGTGTGCATGGTGTGGTGGTCTTGGTGGCCACTCGCCGTCAGCCATGCTTCTTGACAGATTCGTCCTCTTGAATCTAGTGTTCATTACTGGGAAACCTTAAATCCAACTCTTTAGTTCTAACCCATTTGAATTAAATTCTAATGGGTTTGAATTCAAATTCTTCCATCATCAACAGACACCATGTACCTGGATTAACCACATATAAATTAATCTAGGAGGATTTTTGTCACTTCAAAAATCTTTTCCAAACTACATGTGCTTCTCTTTTAGTTCTTTCTGTATGTCCAAATGAAAAAGGGAAAGACAAAGTACATAGAGGAGCAGCGCAGCACAGCCAGCCGTGGCCCACTTGCCGGGAGCTCCTATACGCCGCACTTTGCGGCAAAAGGACGTCGCTTCACAACAAAGGGGATACGCAGCGAGTGGGCCGGCCCATGGCAGATGGGTGCGGGTGCGGGTGCGGGTGTTGGCTATATCAAGCAAGATGGCAAGCTAGCTACTTATGGAGCTGTCCTTCGGGAGATATTGGAACACTCTTCTAGTTTTTAAACTTGCAACATAGGTCATGAATTTAGGAGCTCAAACTATGAAGCTCACAATCTAGCGAAACATTCTCTCTCCCTCGCGGTTGGCCGCTATGTGTGGTTAGGCCAGCTGGGAGATCTTCATTTCGTCCCTGTAAACATTGTGACGGGTTAATAAAGTTTCGCGAGATTGTCTCAAAAAAAAGCAAGATGGAAAGCCACGCTGGTACTGTAGCAAAAATAAGGAAAATAACAAGCCACAGAGGGAATTGAACTCTAGACCTCGCCATAATGAAGTGCTCCCAATGGCCATCTGACATAATAATCCTAAGTGACTAATTTCCAGCGCTAATATCTAAGAACTAGCCATTTTGCCAGAATTCAACACCTTTGATTTTATTCGAACATGTCTTGGAATTTCTAAAAGGTGTTGAATTCTGGCAAAATGTTACAAAGATATGTTCGAATAAAATCGTGAACACATGTTACAAAGTTCCAACATTTTTTGAACAAACTTTGAAATTCAATATTGTTTAGAAAAAGAACAATTTTGAAATTGTTCACATTATTCAAATCCCGAACATATTTTCCAATTGAGAACACTATTTTGAACATGCGAACATTTTTTTAACAATGCGAACGAAATTTCAATTTTCCTTTTTGTAAAAGCGAACAAATTTTTTAAAAAATGATAATTTCTTGAAATTTTGGAAACCCCTTGAGCAATTTGGAAACGTGATTTTTTTTGAAATTCTCAAACAATTTTTCACCCGTGAACAAAATTTGAAAAACAGGAACATTTTTTGGGATTCAAAACTTTAAAACCACCAGTATTTTTAGAAAACTCCTGAACATATCTTGAATTTGTGTACAAATTTCAGAAAAAAGTGAACATCGCGAACATTTTTTGAACATTGCAAACAAATTTTGAAATTCTATATTCTTTAGAAAACGAACATTTTTTATTTTTTTTACATTTTTCGAATTCAAAACGTATTTTCCAATTGTGAACACTTTTTTGAACATGCAAACATTTATTTAACAATGTGAACATATTTTCAATTTTTTATTATAAAAGCAAACAAATTTTGAAAAAAGTGATCATTTCTTGAAAATTTGAAAACCCATTGAACAATTTTGAAACCTGAACATTTTTTGAAATGCTCGAACAATTTTTAATACGTGAACAAAATTCGAAAAACAGGAACATTTTGTGGGATTCAAATTCTGAACAATTTTGGGATTTATGAACAAACAGTAAAACACAATGTTTTTTAAATAATAATAATAAATTGAAGAAAACAATAGAATTGGAAATGATAAAAGAAAAAAAGGGAAAGTGAAAAAACGAAATAGAAACAAAAGAAAAATAAACAGAAAAGTGAAAAAGGCGAGAAAAGAAAAAAACCGGAAAAGCGAAAAAATAGAGCAAGAAAAAAACCCGGATTAGGAACCTTCTAGAAGTTTCCCAAAACCAGAAAAAACCGGCTGGGCACCTCTAGAAGGTTCCCAAAACCGGCCTGCCTAGCAAAGGCCGAGCTAGCGATCATGCCCGACCCATGGCAAGGGGCAGGAGCTCGGCCCGCAGCAGTGATTGGAGACGTCGCGTTCGTCGGCCCGGTCGCGGCGCGGCAGGAGCTCGGCCCGCAGTAGTTATTGGAGACGTCGCGTTCGTCGGCCCGGTCGCGGCGCGGCGTATGGGCTCCTGGCAGCTAGTCCATCTCTGTACTCTCCCTCTCTCTCTCATCAACTTCTGAATCTTCAGATCGGCTCAATCCTCTTCTTTAGGATGGTTGGGCACCCATCCATGGTGGCACCAATATATTCTGAATCTTATTCATGCGCCTCACTTTTTGTATTGGTCGTATCTCACCTTATTTCTGTTAGCTTGTTGCTTCTCGCAATTTCGAACGTATATAAATTGCAAGGGTTTGATGTAAAGTGGCGAGGTGGGGCTATTAATTTGAATGCGGTTTTTTAGCACAAATTGTGTTTGTTGTAGCCGGAAGGGAGGGGAGGGCAGATCGTGAGGTCCAACATTTTTAGCGGCCCATGACCGAACCGATCACAGAGACTTTTCTAAAAAAAACTCCGCACGCGTTAAACCCGACAGAATCAATGTGTGCTTTATTTAGTAGGTAAAGATGGTTCTGGTACAGGCGCAGCAGTGTACATGGATCACTTGGGTGCCTATATGGGATTGTCGTCATTTGTTATTAGAGAATGATGGATCCACCTAGTTTGGAAGCAATAGCATGTAGAGAGGCTCTGTCAGTCGTGGAGGATCTTGGCGTTCAACACAATGATGGTGGCATCTGATTGCGCAAGAGTGATCAAACGCATTCATGAAGGAGCGTGTGAAGATTATGGTGGAGTCATTAAGGAGATTAGTTTATGGAAGACCCTCTTTATTTCATCTACTTTCGTTCGTGACTCTAGAAAGTCAAATTTAGATGTTCATACTCTTGCTAGGCATTCAATATATTGACTCAAATCAAATTCAAATTTAAATTGCAAGTCAATTTATTATTTCTTCAAACAATAAAACAAAAAAATGTTGGTTGGGTTGCAAATATTCACCAAATAATTTTCATGTAAGAACCAACATCATTTGAAATATTTAAATGCCCTTAACCTATTTTAAACAGGACCAACAGCATTAGTTTGAGCTAATTAAATTTTAAAAAAATACTTAAACATTTCAAAATAAATTGAAAATTGCTGGGCTAGCTCAAAACATTACCTAATATTTATGGGCCAAGTTTCATAGTCAACTAAGTTCATTTAGTGTGAAATTAAAATGTAAAACAAGAAAAAACAGAAAAAGAAAAAGAGCAAAGGCCTACTGTGCCACTGGGCTCTATGCAGCCACATTGCGGCTCAGCCCACAACCAGCCTTCTCCTTCCTCGCTATAGGAGGCAGGGAAGGCGTGGTGGCCATCCACTAGCCATAATCGTGACATGACACATGTTGACCACCCCCGGCTCACATGAAGCATAAGGCTGCCCCCGCACCCCTCGGTCGAAACCCTAACCCCTTTTCCCCTTCCTCCCCGCGTCGCCCCTCTCCAAAATACGCATGCACCCCGCTGCCGTTGGCGTGCGGCGGTCGTCTTCGTGGTCCAGAGCCTCCTCATGCCAGGAGCACCGCCGCCCTCTTATGCACCAACTACAAGCACCGATTCGAGCTGGAGCCCCTTCGGGACCGTTGAGTTTATATTTTGTGTTGCATGTATTATGTGTTGTG